CACACACACACGAGCGCGACTTTAGCACTAGATTTAGCAACTTTCAGACCATTTTAGCGACTTTTTTTCCATAGAACATTCATACTGACAAACCTACCAACTTTTTGGATAAACCTTAGCTATGGTTCAGTTGGAAGTAGGGATGTCAATTTTCGATAATTTCCATGATCGATCGTCGTTTAAATTAACTATCAATTAATCGCTAACCTTAATGCTGCAAAATGCGTCTGCCCGTCATGACAGGATGTGCAAGTTACTCAAAAAAACAACAACCCCGCTTTCTCACCCGATTTAAAGGGGATTTAGTCTGAGATTTGTTTGAGATAATTTTACTTTGTTGACTGTTTCCTATCCCGTCACGGACACCGCTGAACGCGCCTCTTTTAAATGGTTTCGTGGTGCTCGTTGTTGTATTTTAAAACACAATTGCAATGTTTTCAACTGGCATTATGGCATTTAAAATAAAATTATCCCAAACGTAGCTGTGGCGCGTGTGGTTGTGCTGCGCAGTCAGTGAACCGCTTCCATCGGCACTGCTGCAGCAAAACACACTGCTGCTCACATGAAACATTATCATGCGAGTATTATGACCAGTACTTAATGTACCTGTTCCGGACACACCGTCATTCACAGCCGCTCGCACGTGTTTTGTGCATGAGCCGCACGCAGCCCAAAATTAAACAGCTTAATTGACCATCGATAGCGCAAAGTTGTAGTATTTCCTCAGCAACCAGCACGGATCAGCTCCAGGCATGACGAAGCAGATATCGTCCTCTTTTGGAAGGCCAAACAAAGTAGTTTCGCTTTCACAATGAATCACACAGTGCCTTCACGACATGGCGGTGGCAACAACAATACTACAGTGAGAATAAAAGTTACGCCTTCTTTCTTTGCGTGAACATTTGGCGGCGTTATGCAAATCTTCCCACATAGTGACGTAGGTATGTGGGGGCGTGTTAGAACGAGCCATTTTAGGTAGGCGTGGTTGACTTAACTTTTATAAAGAATATCTCTTTGGATTTGAGACTTTAGTCTTTGCAGATCTTTACAGATCTCCTTTATGCACCAAGAGCTTGTAACACTCCAAAGAGAATAGAAAAATGGAAATCGCATCATATGACCCCTTTAATTAAAGATATCCATGCACAATCCAATTTATGGGCTCTGAAACCTCAGCAGCAAAGTCCACCAGCATCGCTGGACAGTGCATGATGACAGTCATTACCATTCCAGGGATTGACAGCATAGAGATTCGCCCACACATGAACACGATTTCTTTACACAAAAGACATGCAGGGTTCACAGAGCTCATCTGACCAGAGCAGGAGCCCTACATCCACTGACCAGAAGATGCAAAAGCCATTCAGCATCCTCTTGTGGCTAAACTGAGAAAAAGTAATTTAACCCTCTCTCAGTGGTAAACTGGCTGTTAATAAAACGTGTAGGACCATCATATATGAGAGCATTTCTTGAAATGTTCTTCTGTTTCTATATTAATATGTAGAAATGCATTTGGCAAATGCTTTTTACCACATGACATACTAGTGGAAAAATAAAATAAATCCGATTATGTTTGCGTGAAATGAGGGATTAATAGAATTGAGATTGTTTAATATTAAAGTAAATATAAAACTTTCTTTATTCTAATTTCTTTAGACTAATCAGGGCTCAACAGCGTAAGCTTTTCACGTGCATTTGCAACTAAAAACAGATGTGTGCAAAATGTATATAGAAACGTATGAAAAAAAAAAAAAAAAAAAAAATGTAGGCCAATAAATAATTACATAATTATTAAATACCGTTTGAGGCAGTAATATTTTAAAGTTGTACTTTTGTAATAATTAATTTTGCATGTAAATGTCTCCCTTTATTAAGGAAAAAAAATTATTATTTGATCAATTTTAATTTCTCTCACAGGTGAAAGCACAGATGCTTTACCTTCTTAGTGCTGACAGAGCGTCGCAAGGCCCTCGCATTCACTCCTGCTCTGTTATTGCTGCCACTCGCAGATGGCAGGGTTGCTGAAGGAGGGCTGCACTGAGCACCAAGGGCCGCAGTCATCCTCTCGGTCGCAGTAATCTTCGAGGCAAAGATGTTGTTGTTGTTTTCTGTTAATAACAATGTGCTTGTGCCCTTGAAATCAGCGTGGCTTAGATCTATTTCTTCCCCTTTCTTGATTTTGTTGAGGTAGTCTTTTAGCATCGCCTGAGTACTTGGCTCACTCAACCAAAAGAGGAAGAGCTCGTCGACCTTCATCTTCAGGACAGGCTGAAGTGTTTGTGGTGATGCCATTTCTGGTTTACTTCATGCAGCCAAGATCCACTCAAAAAAGATAAAAATAACCTAAAGAATAATGCAGAAAGGACAGTCAAAACACACTAAGCAATTCACAAATTACTGCTCATTAATTCAATTTATATACATGCATCTTTATGTTTTGTAAATATTTCTTTGTAACGTACTAAACAATTACTGTATGCCATTGTGTCAAGAAATTATGATTATTAATGCATATGAAAATATAAAACATAAATTGTTAATGAAAAATATTTTTTTCTCTAACACATGGAAATATGTGGAATTTGAAACATTTGACAATTGCTAAAGTTTTAGCAGAAAATGTATTTACTGAAATTATTATAATTATTTATTTTTCATGCATACACACCAGCCAAAAAGAACATAAACAGCTGCTGCTGCGACTTCTTCTCTCTCAACCAAGCTCCTTGAATTAATGTATTCTTTACAAAAATTACCATAGTAATTTAGGTCCTACCAAAACATCACTTTCCTCTTGCAAGTTAGTGTTAGTACTGAAAAAATTGTAACTTCGTGTTCGCTTCTTCTGTAATAAATAACAGATATTGAACTCGATGGCAGTAAGGTTTCACGGATTTCGCATTTTACTCTAACGTTACTATGATTTTACAGTATTAATGACTATGGTATTGCGACGCATACTGGATTCTAAACATCCCACCACGGAGGACGAAACTGGAGAACACACTGAAAATATCTTATTTAAATTCACCTTATGTTTCTCACAATTCCACACATAAACCTAAAGAAAGTGTTTAAACACAACCATCGCAAAAAAATAGCTGGTTTGTAGCTGTTGCTAGCTGACCTCACGCAGCATATACTTCCACAGCTAACGGACAACGGGTAAATAATTACATAAACATCGCCAGTATTCCATAACATAGATAAAGAAACGGATTTTTAATCGGTAAACTCCACAGAATTAAAGGTAACTGATTTGCATTACTCTACCTGCAGTTATTAGGATGAGTTTTGGCTGTTATCGTAGACGGGGTTACACTTTGAATCAAACTCTCGTTTCAAGTAACCGGGAAAAGTTTATATCGCGAGAGCAGCGTCCATGCGCGAACGACTCGTTCGTTTGAATTGGTTCTTTTAAAGGAATCAATCGAGCCGATTCGCAAGAAGAACGCGTTCGAACTGCTGGAGTTACCGTTTGAATGGAATAGAGAGTTGAATAATGCGAGTTACTGGATGAAGCGAACGTTTTCTGATCTTGCTCGACTCCAAACGTGTATCACTGTTTAAAAGGAAAGATTTCTGTCTTAAGATGATAAGGTTACTGGAGGAATATCACTCAGCAGTCCCATGCAATGTTTTTTCCATCATCACCATCATCAGCAAATGAAAGATTTATTCATTTTTTTCTATGAGGGAAAATATATTTTTTTTGTTCAAACACGATGTGTTTACTTTAATGTTCTTGGACTGCATTTAACTAACCTAATAACTAGAAAATAAGTGTTATTCATCTGATGTGCTACCCCAGCAGTATTTTTTATTATTTAGCAAATGAAGTTTCTATTTGAATACTTTTACGTACTTTACTTAGGCTATTTAATTTAAAATGTAGACATATTTTATTCCATAGCTATTCCACCCTGTACCTCATGATTTTTTAATAAAAGCACAAAAGCACGTTTTCTTTATAAAAAAAAAACATTTAGATTTGTAATTCACATAATAAATCAATGCTTGGAGGGAAGAATGGATTTCACAAGGCACTTCAATTGCTCTCAGATGTTTGGATACTTTATTTGAGATCACAATGGGAAATGGGAACGATGCTTATGTCTTTGAAAATCCATGGAGATTTTCTCATGCTGATGTTAACGGTACAGTATGGAGGGAACTTGCATTGCTCAATATAATTACAAAAATAAAATGTTTTTGATAGACAAGCACCATCCTTTAGTTTTGTTGCACCTGTCTTTTTATTTTTACTTTTCAGAAAATACATTGTGTCTGTTTCAACATATGAATATAGGGAATGTGTATACTGAAAAAAATATTATTTAGAATCACTGAATCAACCAAAATATAAATGTATACCAGCAAAATACATTCTAATCAGGTAAAAATGGCTGCAGGCTACAACTTTTTACAGTTGTATGACCTGCAGAGATCGTACTTCACCAGAACACCCTCACACACACACACACCCTCACACACACACACACACACACACACACACACAGTACATTATTACAACATTTAAAGTAGAATTTATATCAGTTAGTACATTAATGCCCAAAACGCATTATATATACAGTATAAATATATATATATCAGATGGCTGAGCAGAAATCTGAAACACATCTTTCTATGGCTACAGTCACCAGGCAAGACCGCAACATCTAATTTTGCTTTTAACTTTGGGAAACCTTTCAGGTCTTGTACTTAAGCGCTGGTTATGATTTACAAGCATGTTGCATGAGAACTGCACTAAAAATACATTTCCATTTTGAGTTCACAGAGAAGTTTTATATTTATTTTACAGCAAGGTACTGAACTATAAACATAATTATGCGCATATTCCTTTTATTGTTTTATTTAATCACACTCAAGTACCAAGGTCAAGTAGCATGTCATCAATATTAATCGAAGAACGTCACAGTATTTAAAGCTATTTGTTTGTTGATGTGCTATTAACTTTATTTAAAGGCAGATAAGCCCGTTTCCTTTCAAGATAAAAAGGAATGAACATTACATCATGAATTATTTCATGCATTAACTAAATTGCCCCCTAAATGCTTCCTACAAAAATGAGTAACCTATTTTAGAAAAATGTGTTTAATCTATTAATTAACTTGAGATTTCAATCTAAGGTTTTGCCTCAAACATGAGAAAAAAAGTCATGCGATACCCCCATAATTCTGAACAAAGAGCCTGTTCTTTCCCTGACATGCCCGCATGCCATGTGAATGTGGAAATAGATTTTGGTTAATTTTGCCAAAGAGGGTACAGCATATTCATCCCTGGTTAAAAAGAGGTTGGTTGAGCCCCCCCAGGGGCCTGGGGACCTGGGCCCCACCTTTGAACACGCATCACATCAGTCTTTCATTTCAGCTCCCAGAATTTCATCATTCATTTCACATTATCTTAAGCTCTCTCATAGGGAGCTTTGCTTGCTGTCGAGACGCCTCTGTTGCTTCAAGATCTCTTTGAATAATTCAGAAAAAGCAGGAGAAGATTAGAAGGCATTCGATTTGACTGCGTGAAGAATCAGTCCAACAACTCCCATCATAGTTATCAGTGGATCCGTGCTCAGGCAGACTGTGGTAGTTGTGGTTCACATGTATTTACTGTGGTGTAATATCTCATTGATGTGAGTGACAAGGTGGAGATTGAGAATTTAACTCACCTCTGCATCATGAAAATCAATGGAAGTATAAATACAGTTTAAATGTCATAAAGGTTGTCATTCAGGGCTATAGTCTGAGCTCGGCACAGCTCACGTTCAGAATTTTAGAATATGAATGATCTGAAGAATTTGAGCTGAACGCTGTAAAATGGACAATCTAAAAGGCAATAGTTTATATAGTCAAATTTACAACAAAAAAAAGGAGACAAGGTTAAAATGTACAGTTATACATTATACAGGTAAATCTTGCTTTTTGTGTATTCTATTCACCAACATGCACAGGAAAATAAGTAGCTTTTGCAGTAAAATGAAAGAGACCGCTATTAACAACCATTAATGGCCTGCAAAATCAGAGCTTGAAGTGAACATGAGGCAAATTGTCATCAGTAATACCACATTGAATTACTTTGTCTGCCTAAGTATTAATAATAACCATTTAATTTGAGAGATTATGTTATTATTATTTTAAAAGGGCCATAATTTGTCATGAAATTAATCACACATTGAAACATAATTTTTTTAATGAGCATGAAAATTCAGTGATGTCTTATCAAAGGCAGCAAACTGTGATCGTTCAATAGAGGCAATATTCTCTTTATCTCTGCCAAAGAATGTCTCCTTTGACCACAGCAGGATCTAATTTGTGAGCATCTTCACTATATGTGATAAAAATTCTAAAAGTTCTCAAAAATTCACCCTGACAAGTGTTTCCATCTGGCTCATGTCCATATATATATATATATATATATATATAAAAAAAAAAAAATATGTATATATATATATATATATATATATATATATATATATATATAAATATAAAAAAAAAAAAAAAAATATATATATATATATATATATATATATATATATATTCATATGTGAATATTACATACATACATATTATACAGTATGTGTATGTATTAGGCTTGTGCGATAATGACAGAAATTTATACCTTGATATTTTCTATAACGATAACGATAATTAGATGATATTTTGCTGAACGTGTTATTGTGCTGGTACTTTGGCATGTTTAGGACTGAAGTGGACAGCTGACTCTCAGAGCTTTTGATGTATTCTGTGCAGTGATTAGTTAGCAGGAGTAACAGAAATTAACTTTTCCAATATATTTTAATAGATTTTTACCTTTTATGGGGATTGTTACCTTTATAATGACAATTTTTTTCTAACCTAATTAAATGTATGTATCATCTTTTGTGTCAAATTCTAACCAATAAATTCAAATAGTAAGACACTATGGGCTGTTACCAATCAAATTAAATCAGTATCAACAAAATTTGTGTTTGCAATGCACAGAATCTGCATCTGAAGTGGCATTTAGATGCATTTACACAGACTGTTTTATGCAGGACATGAATGCAGTTAACCTGCAGTTACAAATGCATAAATAATTTTTGATGTTTAAAAAAAAAACGTTGAATGCTGATATTTGAAATGATTTTGGGGAAAAAAAGGAAAAATAATTTAAATATAAACCTAAAATCGGCAGTAGGTGGTGACAAATCACTGCATGAGTGAGTCATTGAGTCATTCATTCAACCGATTCATTCAAACAGCTGATTGATTTAGTAACAAAACATTACTGTCCTGTGTTGCTCAGAGACGCAAAACAGTTGTGCTGTGGCTGTTATTAAAACTATTTTCATTGATGAAATAGAGCAAAAGGAACTTGTGTCTAAAATGTAGGTCAATTAATATTAACTTATTACCTTATTAAGTTTTGTCAAATCAATATCACATTTGAAATCGTACAGATACTTGGAGAAAAAACAGTATTCATTGTTTGATATTAACTACATCAGATTATATAAATAAAAGTCATACGGGGGCATATTTCCCCACTTATCTTGAATTATGGGGGAATTCTAAACGTATTCTAATAGACTAAATCACACAGTGAAAGCGTGAACTGTAAATATGCATGCGCAGAAGTCTAACCTACATCTCAGTGCACTCTCTGGGTGTGTTTTTGTTTGATTTTTGCAGTATACTCGATCATTTAAATAACAATTACGATATTATCATAGACGATATCGCACACCCCTAGTGTGTATGTAATGTGTGTATGTATGTATGTAGGCTATGCAGAGCCGATCCTCCCTATATGCAAAGTACGCAAGCTGCGTAGGGCCCTCGAAACACCAGGGGGCCCCCTTGCTATCAAAGATGATTTAATTTTAGTTTTGTTTTTGAATTTGGCCAGCGGTTATGAAAACCGCTTATGTCATTTCTTTTAATGCGGTGCGCTGTCACCCTTTCTACGTAAAAATCAGTCAAATCATGTAACGTGAATGTCATACAGTGTCTTACTCGAGACAAAAAAAAAAAAGGTTTGAAAGTGTACCGAGCCGCGGAAGAGACACCGTTCCCCCCTCCCCCCTCTTACTGTATATGTATGTGTGTGTGTGTGTGTGTGTATAATTAATTCTGAAATTTACTAGCATTTTTTTCTTTCAAACTTTCAACCCTTTATGGAAATATATGTATATATCTACAGCTCAGGGGCCTTGTGTCTGTCAGATCACATTATCTCATGAAAACCTGTTCTGTCTTATTCCTAAAACATTATTCCACCTCACCTTCTCTGAGACGTTTGTCATTATGTCTAGGATGTAAAGATTTCTTATAATTAGGCCATGAGTCAATCCACTCAAAGTGCGTC